AAAATCATTATACGATAAATTGAATAGTTTTTAGAACCAAACAAACAAAATATGTTGTGAGGTATTTAACGCTTTGAGGCCGGGCGACGTGAATTCGCGTCCTCATATTTTGAGATCTGAATAACTTTAAAAAACACGATCTATTGATTATTTTATGACATAAATTGCATGAACATTTCCATTTAGGATATTTATGCAGTTAAGGTTATGTATATTTAGTGATGATTGTGAGTCTTCCTTGATATTTCTGGCAATTATTATGTAATTTAATCGGTTAGAATATGAATTAGGTTGACGGAACTTCTCGAAAAAGAACTAGGTCATTTAAGGATGTTTAGTGTTATGAAAACTGCTCAAGAATGCCATTTATAGGAAAGAGACTTCTCAGTTGCTCGCATCTGATAAATGATATAGAGTGAATTTTTTACATAAAAGGTCACGAAGGGCAAAAGTTGACCGCTTCTGAGTGACACATACTATTTTTCCTTTTCTTTCTGCTATTGTACAATGACGTCATGAATTATCTTTTCTATCATATTTCGTTCCTTCGGACTCATTCGAGTAGATTCTTCTTCTCCCTTCGATTGGTATATATATATATGGGCGTGGCCAGCTGATATGGTACCCCATTTTGATATAGTCCTATTATAAGGATAAAACATACTATTGTTCGGGCCATATAAGAGAGGATCCTAGATAACCCTGGATTGGCCCGAACAACACCATGTTTTATCCTTACAATAGTAAAGAAAAGTAACTAACTCACACAATAAGCTAGTAGCTTTTCTCTACTATTGTAAAGATAAAACATGGTGTTGTTCGGGCCAGTCCAGGGTTATCTAGGATCCTCTCTTATATGGCCCGAACAATAGTATGTTTTATCCTTACAATAGGACTATATCAAAACGGGATAACATGTCAACTGGCCACGCCCATATATAATCCAAGGAGAAAATGCTATGTTTGTGCTAATACCGTAAAGAGAGCCAAGGCAAGAAGAGATACTTCGTACGAATATATTCAATATGATGTAGGGTTGTGTCTTATAGACTGTTTTGAGGACTATCACACTTTAAAAGCGTTCTGAATCATGTATCTCGTGATATTCTTGCAAAATAAACGTCAATTTCTAATTACACAAACTTTTGCTGTATAAAAAGAATCCCAGCCTCAAAGGGTTAAGCTCCACACCGTTCATGTGCCTAACACAATGTTCTATGGTGTAATGGATTACATCCTTGGAATATCCATCGTATTTCTGAGTAAAAGTGTTTTTTTTTCAATTTTGGTGATACAGTCAGCTAGCTCGCGACCGAAACTACTTTGTGAACAACAAGAAAAAATTTAATGATACCTAAAATTTGACGATGAACCTCCCTAAGTTTAGGTATCAAGATTTTTTTGTTCTGCTCAAAGACTATTTTCTACGGCATTGTAACTCACTACATGATCAAAATCTGCAAATGTTTTCGCTTGGAAAAACCGCACAAATTCCATAGGATTCTCTTTTTTTCCCAGAAAATGATATACTTCTCATGAATTCGCTCTTTAATTATAGTTGAAGAACTAAATAGAGTGAAATTAATCGTACCTCTCAGGGACTTTGAAAATTAAAAAAAAATATCAAAAACAGAAAAAAAAGTGGCATGTTTGGTGATGAAACGCACATTAATTTTGGTAAATTTCAAATTCATTGATTAAAAGAAATATTTTAACGAAGTAAATGCAATGATTTTGATTTTTAATCAGAAACATCTAATTGAATTGATGAAAATGACCGTTTTATTCAATGAAATTGAAATACATTAAAATGAATATCCGTTTTATCATTCGAAATATTTCTTTTTATCTTTTTAGTCACTGAACTGAAATTCAGATACTTTTTCGACTGTAAAACATTTTTGATAATGTCTAATATTCCAAAAAAAAAATATATAGTTTAGTAAAAAGTAAAAAAACAAACGATAAAAGCGTCGGACCGGGAGGTTCGTTTCGAGCTCTGATAACTATTGGCTTCAATGCATACATGACGTTTAGTAGTATACAAAAGTCTTCCTTTAGTAGAACTTTCAGCAGCTCTTTACCAATCAGTTGTGTCACCCGTAATATAGTTGAAGTTTTAACAACGATGATACAGAAAAATGACGAAAATCCAAATAAGCATGAGTTTGTATCTTCATCGAGTTTGAGTTCAGCATATATATGGTGCCATGCTGAAAGCTGGTGGTTATCTCTTTAGATCTTATGCAGACCTGTTCAGGATCATGTACAACTCGTAAAAAAGAATTACAATTTTTTGCATAAGAAAACTTTCTGAAATTGGCTTATTTCGAAAAAAGCAAAGTCACTCCATTACTTTGTTATCATTATCATTTTATGATTTTCATTTTCTAAATGATAAACAAAATTATTATGCTAATCTTCATATAATTTCTTAATTTTAATCACCGATTTTTTTACTTCATTTGAGATGAGTTAATTTACTATTATTTTTTTAAATAAAATATTGCTTTTATCTATTGCTTCATTATAATTTACTACACATTTTGTTTTTACAAAAACGGAGTATGCAATGAGAAGAAGATTATCGTGTCCTGTTGTTTCGTAGCATAAATAGTTAAATCTAATTCTCTGGCTATGTACATTTTACGGTCTGCATAAAGCAAAATGAACTCTTCACAAATTCACTATGGAGAGTTTCGAAGGACAATAAATTTGAACCGTACAAAAGTCCCGATAAAATTATTGTACGTGATTGTGCAACAGAGTTAGATATCAAAAACACTACCCGACTATAAAGTGCTAAGGAACAATAGCTTGTGAACCCACATTTGTGTTGTTATTTTTCTTTTCTTTTTGATTTTAGTCATCATACAATGTTCTAATAATTGTTTTACTGAAGCTGAAATTTGGTGTAAAAACTGCAAAATTAGTTATTGTTTGAACTGTAGCAATATTGTTCATGCACCGCCAGCTATTAGCACACATGAAAGAGTGCCCATTAAACTAAAACCTTTGGAACTCGTGCGACACGAAATATATCCGGATGAAAACCTCAAGTATTGGTGTTACAACTGTAAAAAAGTGATCTGCTGCGATTGTCAATTGTCTAAGCATCATTATCACAAGTTTGTAGCCATTATTGACATTATAGAAGATGTAGAGAAAGAAGTCAGTATTCAATTATATGTATGTTTTGTTTCATTAAGTAGCTTTTCATTGAATATAGTTGAAGCATGACCTTGAAAGCGCAAAATCATCTTTGGAAGAAGCTTCAAAAAATGTACGACAAATGATCAATTCGAATGAAAACGTTAACAAAGACAGAATCACAGAAGCATTTGCGTTTATACGCGCAACAGTTGATAAACATGAGAAAGAACTAAAACAAGCGATTGACGAGATTGACAGAATGAATAAGAAACTGATTGAAGACTATCAAAATGAGTTGATTGGCGGAAAACAGAAGCTCGATCAATATGAAAAACAATTTGAGAATATTCTTTCCACCAATGATCATGAAAAGCTATTAAAATCGAAGGAAACATTGACTGACAACATCCAGAAAATTGTGCAAGATCGAGAAAAATTAAAAGCCCCTATCACAATCGAGTACAATATTGACAGCATCGACAAATTACAAACAGCTGTGGATGACGTTCTCAAGCGTCTCAGCATCATGGAGAAACAAGGTAATGTACCTATCAGTCTCCACATAATTATGTATGATATTGGCTCTAGTATTTTACGAATTTCTACTTCAAAAATATTTCTTCTTTTACCAAATGTTACACACTCCATATTAAAACTATCGTTTAACCTCAGCCGCCTATAACCACCTTCACCCACATCCCTAATCCTATTTAAAGAAAAGTGTAGAATATGCGATGTTCAAATAGATTGTATTTCTTATTTATTTACATATAAAGTTGAATACAACCTGGTAAAATAATTACAAATGTGTAGTTTTTATTTCAATGGAATCACTGTTGAGAGAAAATCAGCTTTAAAATGCCAAACTACAGATAAGATTCAATATGAAAATCGAAAATTCAGGCATTTCTTTTGTAAACTTGTCAATTTTCTCTAAATGTTAGTTCTTAAACAAGTTGAAAGTATTTGATTTCGATTTGGCATCAAGAAAGGAATAGAAAAGTATCATTTAGTTGGATTCGAAACTAATAAAAATTTAAAAAAAAAAAGTTTTTTTCATTCAGATAGCTTGAACAAAATTTTTATCATTCTAATTCTACTTCACACAGTAACTACATGATTAGTCTTTTAAAGAACGATTATTAACACATTGAACCCGATTTGATTCTACGGAGTAGCAAATAATATTTTTCCAGAGGGTACAGCTCTAAATACAAGTGATATCAACATTGAATTTTATGCCACACGAAACCTCGTCGAAAACTGGATTAAGTAGTATAACTAGCAATTCATAGAATGACTATGTGCTAAAGAATTACCAAAAGTTCCAAAATTTTCAGACATATAATTGAGTATTTTCATGGGTAATCAACTACGAAAAACAAATAGATCTCAGGGAATGTTTCGTCTATCGAACTTTGTACAGCTCTCTTTGCCGACCATTTTAATAAAAAAGATTTTTTAAATTTGATAAATAAATGATGGTGCTAGAGTCAAAATACTGAAAAAAAATCGTAGCTCTAGCAGACAGAGCTATCTCATTTTTTTCAGTATGTCTACTCTAGCACCATCATTTATTTATCAAATTTAAAAAATCTTTCTATCAAAATGATCGGCAAAGTGAGCTCTACAAAGTCTGACAGACGAAAAATTTTTCTGAGAATCTTTTGTTTTCATAGCCGACTAACCACTGTACAATATAGTGAGACCCACCGGTGGGTCTCATCGGGTTGAATGTGTTAAACTAGTCGATAAGTATAAACATTTACCAATAAGAAGATACACTATCTTTTTTCCTGCATTTACATTCAGCCAAATCCATAACCCAGCCATATTCACACTCCACAATGAATAATACAGATCAACCACTATATTATCCTAATCCAGTAGCGTCACATTCACAAACATCTGGTTTTTATATGCCAAATGATGGCATGAAACAACGTAAGATTAAGTTAACGAAAGTGTTATTGAGCTGAACTTATTTTTTGTTTTTATCAGCTTATCCAATATCAACAAATTATCAAACGCGTCCAGTACCATCAACAATGTCTAATCAACCAAAAACATTGCACCAACCACCAGATACACTTTCTGATTTACAAGAACAAATACAAATTCATCCAACACAATCAACTCAAGATACAAAAGTAAATAATTTTCTTATATAATCAAAAAATTTAAAACGAAGCTTTTTTTTCTTCTAGATTGATGAACCAACTGTACCAATATCTCAGTCTACAATAGCACAAAATATTCAACAATCGAATTCATGTGCATCAACAGTATCATCACGAGCTAAGAGAAAACGAAAAAAAAATCATTGTCTTGTTGATTCAGTATTACATAAACCTGTAGAAGTTTCTACACAATTAATAACTTCAACTACGACGACCTCATCAGTATCTTCAACAATAATAACGAATGAAAATCATTCTATTGAATCGACAACGACAAAATCAATTAAACCGAATGCAAAATCAACAAATGATACAAATAAAACACAAAAACAAGCTAGATTTTCACAAGAATCTGCTGATATATTTACCGATTCTTTCAATATTCAACCAGATAAGGTATATAAAATGAATACAGTACATATTCCTCGAAATTATTATTTGAAATATCTTTTTGAATTAAAATGTAATTTCGAAAGTCGACCAATTAAAGTCATGATATTGCCGATGTAGATGTAGAGTGTGAGTATGGCTGTGTCTAGGATAGTAGAAACAAAATTATCGTAACACCGTCTGAGCATTGTAGAAGACAACGAATTTTTTATTGAAATTATTTTTCTTTTCTTTATGATAATTTAGTCTGATAATCGAATATCTACAATGAATGAAGAAATTAGTACGAATTCATTGAAATCACAATCAACACCATCAAAAACAACAATAAGCCATGACGAAAAATCTCTCGCACCATCAAAGAAACGTTTCCATTATGATCGTCAAGAGCTTTTACGTATTCGTGATAGTTTAGCACCATTTCCAATTCCAGAACGTCTTCGTAATCTTGATATTGTTATTAATCGATGTGATAATAATAATAATAATAGTAATAGAAGTTTAACAAGCAATTCAAATCGTAAAACAGAAGTTCATTTATCAACTAAACCTGATTTTAGTAATCATGTTGCAAATTCTTACGAACCAGTCGATCAAAATAAAATTGATGCTAATAATAGATTTTTATGTAATGTTAGATCCATATTAAATAAATTAACACCACAAACATATGATGAATTACAAAAACAACTTGTAGCTTTAGATTTTGATTGTTGTGAAAAACTAGAAGGAATGATTATGATATTGCATTCTAAAGTAAATTTTTCTTGTTAATTTTTATTTAATTATACCAAATATCTTCCATGTATTAGGCTGTTGATGAACCACACTATAGTTTTCTATATGCAAAATTATGTAAACAACTTCGAAAAGTATATTTTCTATTATCGATTTCAATTTATTTGAATTTGTCTTCTAGAAACATGTGAATGTATTAGATAAAGATGGCAAACCAAAAAAATGTACTCTTCGTCCATTATTAATGATATGTTGTAAGAAAGAATTCAATAATGATAATATACAAGAAATTGAATATGAAAAAAGAAAACTTGAACTTGAAACTATAACAGATGAAAAAAAATATCAAGAAGAAGCTGAAATATTAGAAGATCTTATTAAAGCTAGAAGAAGAAAATTAGGCAATATTGTGTAAGTATATTTGTGAACTATAAATTAATAGTAAAAATGACAAACATACATTAGTCCTCGTAGATCAAATTTTTCGAATCTCATTATTTTTATCCAGAAAATTTTTCCATAGTTCTGTATCTTATTCTACTGTATTTTACTAGAGCTCGATGTTGCGAGATATTCGACAATACAGTCTCATAGGACTCTGTATTAACTGTCACATACAAATAAACAAAAAACTACGTATCTCATAAATTTGCAATATAGATTAAAAGATTTTATAAGCCGTGAAATTCAATTCCGAGCTAAAAAATGCAATAATTTATGACCTAGTTCAATAGTTCTCAATCCAATGAACCCTAGTACATCAATTAAGAAAGTTTATTTATGAAAATACTTTAATTTTATATAATTTTTAAGAAGAAGATCATGTAAGATAGAGCGAAAAATGTTTGTAGTGAGATATGAGGGATTAAAGTTTTTAGTCTTGTCCTAGAGAAAAACGTTTTTGAGAATTATATTTATTTGAGATCAACTCAGCTGACTAATGTCTTGTTTGTTATTATCTTGCCTGAATTTTTCTTTGATTGTTATATGATAATACAAGATGATTCACTAAAAATCATAGGAAGTTTAACTCTTATTTTTTAGTACAATTCAAATATTTTTTTTTCTCTCAGTTCTAGACTCACACAAAATTTGTCTTTTGCTCACTCTACAACTCTAGTCATGTTATGATCGATTATTAATTTGATTTTTGAATGTGATTGTCGTACATAAATGATTCTGTTAGTTGAAATTTTTACTGTCTTATAGATCGGTTTTTTTTTGCAAAAATTTATGATTTTGTGGTTAAGTTTCGAGAATATTGTGATTACGATTCGACTAAACAGTTTTGATCAGAGTCCTGCACAAAAAAGCTTTTAATATGTCCTGAGTGTTTCGTGGGATAAGAAAAATATGATTTTTCGGAATTTGGAACTATCCAACATTCTTCAATTCAATATAATTGAGATATTTTCGCAATCATCTGTTGATATTCGAGACAGTATAGCTTTTAATCTCATAAGGTTTATAGACAAATTAATTTCAATTTGTTTTTTCTTCAATTCGCTAAAAAAAACTATATTTTTTATTCTTCGATATATGAAAATTCTTCTTATGGCTTTGGTAGCAGAATCAACGTTTGCCTTTTTTTTTCATTAAAATCTGATTCGTTACTAAGGAAAAACTGTTGCATATCAATGTAAAATTTTATATCATACAAAAGTAAAATCTTTTGATTATTTTAGTTTTATTGGTGAGCTATTTCAAGTACAAATATTTCCTCATACTATCATATATGATTGTATTGAATATTTACTTCGTGATAAAACTGATGAAGCAAGTCTTGAATGTTTATGTAATCTCTTACGTACTATTGGTGACAAACTTGATAATAAAGTTAAGAAAAAAGTATGTGCCGTTTTGTATATTCATCTGTTGAATTTACAACTTTGTTTTAGAGTACAAACAAGTCCAAATTGGAAAAATATTATTGTCATTTAAATACTATCGTCAAAGAACAAAAAGCATCAGCACGTATTCGTTTTATGATTCAAAATCTTCTAGAATTACGACAAGTAAGTAGAAGAATAAATATCTAACTGTTAAGAAAACCTAAATGTTGTATTTTTGTACCATGAAGAACTCAAGAGATGAAGCCAGAGTGAAAGTGGCCGCTTCTATTGAAATCTTTTCAGTATACAACAGAATTTCCTAACACATTTAGAAGAAATTTTCCTCGGAAACTATATTTATATTTCAGAATAGAGAATGATAAACAGTCTGATATATTCAATCGATTTTGAAAGCGATCTAAGATAGATACTCATTATAAAAAAAGCAATACTTCAAGATAATATGCACGAATTTTTTTAAAGAATTTTCTCTAATATTAATAATTTTATCTTGAAAATAATTCATGTTTCAAACAATTTTTTTCTAAAACAAAAACTATTTGAATTAGACTGCATGGGGTACCTGTCGTCCTAAAACTAAACCGACGACAATTGATGAAATTCATGATCAAGAACATTTAAATCGTGAACGACAACAACATCATGATCAAAATCATGAAACTATTATTAGTAGTGCCTACAGTGGAAGTAGTCAACAACCAAATAACAATAAAAATGATAATTATGATAGTGAAATTAAACAACAATCAAGTATAAAAGGAGAAGATAGAATAGAAACTTGCTCTCATGCTAATACTTTCACAAAACTGCAATAAAACGATAAATAAAATCAAGCACCATCTGTAAGATATTTTTTATGAGAGTTAAACAATAAACAAAATGATTTATTTTTTTTATGGGCAATAAATTTAACATCATCATGTATACGAACAAAAGAATTAGATATTGAAAAGAAACTGGGAGAAGATCGTTCATTAACTGAGCAGAAAGAAAATTAAATAAAAGATCTTTTATTCATCGTTCTATTCTATAAAAACTTGAACGAAAAATATTATTCTTTCTAAGAAGTTTATAATACAAACATATCCAAAACCATGTAAATCTCATGTTAACATAATTTATTTTGGTACCTTTGAAAATTACAAAGATGAGCATCACTCTCAAATACCTTTGAAATTGAAAAGAAGGTAAATTTTAGTAAGAAAATCTGATGTATAAGGTGTGGTGTGAGTGTTCGTGTCGGGGCGGCTCTGGGTGTCAACTTTTAGCTCTCAGACATTCACACCCACACCCACATCCTTTCATCAAAATTTAACAATACGGTCCCCCTCTGCTCTTTTTTACTCAAATTTGCCATGTAGTCCTTGACGGGCCGACTTTTGGGTGTGGATGTGGATGTGGGTGTGTGAGTGTGGGTGGGTGTGGGTGTGGGTGTCGGTGTGGGTGTGGGTGTCGGTGTGGGTGTGTGAGTGTGGGTAGATGTAGGTGTGGGTGTGTGAGTGTGGGTGGGTGTGGGTGTGAGTGGGTGTGGATGTGGGTGTGAGTGGGAGATTTCTCTTCACACCACACCCATCCGTACTCGCGTCCTCCTCTCTTTTCGTTAGGAAACAACGAGACTCCGAAAAGGTCCTGACGGAAGTGTGTCGCCGTGGAGTTTCGATATTCTAATCGAGTTAGAAAAACGACTACGGAACTGCGAAATCAATCTTGTATGGTGATAGTCTCGATCTCGGTTAAAGTTTTGTATTATTTCTGTCATCGGTTTTATTTCTAAAATATAAACAATTTTTTTAATAGTTTGTGTGTGATTCTATGAATATTTATAAAATTTACATCAATGATTTTCAGAAACTAATAGTACGAATATACCTGTAAAAACATTTATTAGAACTAGGCAAATAAAATGCCATTTTTTTTCGTTTCACTTGAAGTTTTGTATGCTTCTGACTGTAAGGCTAAGAAAATTGTCTAAGAGCTTACAGCTCTTGAATAGATGCGAAATCTGTATGAATGATCATCAATCGGTATTTCTTCAAAAATCATTTTGATGGCATATAAACTTAGGATCTACAAAACTATGACTGCTTTAAGATGATATGACCCCCCCCCCCTCCAGTGCTTGAAAAATTTTCGTTTTTCCACAGCAAAATTCTAGAATTTGTTTCGATTTTTTCTGGTCAATTTTCGCCCCTCACATCCAATCTATTCACATCTAGTTCTGGGTGTGGGTGTGAATGGATAATACTAACACGCACACGTACATCTACGTCCACACCTATATCCACACCCGCACCCAAATCTATTTGAAGCAATTTTAGTCTTTGGAAAGAAATTTTTCGAACATTTTTCCAGATTTCGCATCACTATACATATACACACACGTCTTTCTTATTGAGCGTGCCACGGAAATCTTTATCATACACATCAGCACATCTCTCTCTATCTTGAGGGTGCTCGGAAATAGTGGTTCTACATGAAAAACAGGTTCGTTAATGGATGAACTTGATCGAATTTGGATGAAAATCTTTGAATTTTTCATTTTTATTGGGGATTTAGTAGTCATTGAATGTTAAAGTTTCTGATTGGGAAGCATTGGAACTCGTCAAGTTTTTTTTTGTCTGGCTTTTGTAAAGAATGGTCAGTACGAAATCCCTGATTTAGCCCATTAGAGATATTTCGTAACGCAAGAATCAGTGGTTTCATAACAAAAAATCAGGGGTATCGTAACGAATTTTACAGGGTGTTCGTAAAAGGTAGTTTGATATGTACCATTTTAGAACATTACGTCCTCAATTACAGCCATTTCGTAATGAATTATACAGGGTTATCGTAACCTGTTATGCAGGGCTGTCGTAACCATTATTACAAGGCTGTCGCACTGTAAGAGGAGCGTATGGTTAGTTCTAGTTATGAGGCTCTCGTAACAAAAAATCAGAGCTACCGTCACCAAACAAATCAGACTTTTTCGCAGAAAGAATGTTTGTATAAATTATGTTGCATTTTTTTTTCGTGTTTCATTGTGTTATCTAATACATGTGTCATTGTCTGTGCGCTAGTCAAAAAGATTATCTTCTATGTTACTGATTTTCTACCATTTCTTTGTTAAGTAAAGTAGATAAAATAAGTTGAAGACTTCAGTGTGTCAACGAAACTTTCCTTCTTATAGCAAAACAAAACTATTGGTTACGACAGTCCTGATCTTTCGTTATGATAACCCTACACATCTAACCCATACACACTATACTTTTCTGGTATGACAACCCTGTATGGACGATTACGTCTTCCCTGTAAAATTTGTTACGACAGCTCTGATTTTTGCTGTTTCAACAACCCGTCACGTGACGAGTTGCAACGTACTCAATCTGGTCGCTGCAAATGGAGAAAACACTGAACGAAGTGTCGACTAGGTTGACTTACAAAATTAGTCGATAGTATGTAAACATCTTGAGAATACTCGCTCCAAACAAATGGTGACTATGCATTTTATTCAAATAACATTCCTATGTTAACTTTGTACTAACAAAACTGATAAATAATATTTCAATGAAAAAACAACGAGACGGAAAAGAGTTTTGTCCGGTGTTGGTAGTAGACAATCGTCGCATTGTCATTAAATGAATACTATGTGGACGTACAGACACTACGATGTTTTCAATACTGGGATTATCATCAGTAATCAAAATTTCTTCCTCAAGAATGTCTCCACGTATACGCATGTTAGAAACAGCAAATACTTAGGGTTATCCAAAAGTAGTGGACCAGGTTCTTTTTTTTCTTATAAATAGCTAAAAAGAAATTTCTTTTTTTACGAATAGATAGAGCGTCTTTCGCTCTATCTTTCTATGCTATTTGATCAGTATCTAATTAAGATCATAGTAATAAAATTCCGACAAAAACATTTTTAGTGCAACTCTAGCTGGTAGCAATAGTGCATAAAACCATCTACACGTGTTTTTTTTCGTTTTTTCTTGCTTTTTCTCTTGTTGTTTCTTTCATCATCGTCTTCTTATCTCTTTTAATAACTGACTGTCCATATATTTCACAATGGACAAAGAGTAATAATGATAGAACAAAACAAAATACAGGGATAAGTTTATCAATTGTTTATTTCATCAAACGTTCGAAATAATCACCTTGGTTATCTATACACAATTGCATTCTTTCAAACCATTTTTCAAATGTTTTTTTATATTCTTCATTACTCAAAGAATACATGAAATTGACCACAGCATCATATAATGATTGTGAATCACTTTGATCGGTCAGATTTCGTTTGATTAAGTCGAATAACCAAAAGTCACATGGTGATAAATCTGGAGAATTAGGTGGATGTGGTATTATTGTGAGATGTTCCGATTCAAGATAACTAGACACATCTTCGTGAACATGTGGTCTTGCATTATCGTAGTGAATTTTAATACCACGCGTCCCATATGAGGGTCTTTGACGTTTGATTTCATCGACAAGAGGCCGTAAACAATTGTTGATGTAATACTGGTGATCGATTGTTTATCCCCGTTCCAAATGATGAATGAAAACAGGACCATTTGACTTAAAAAAGATGGATAATAAGGTCTTTGAAGCATACTTACTTTGTCGAACTACAGTAGGTGGAGGATCTCCTCTTCTCACCCACGCTGCATTTGACGACTTTCGACCAATTTGTTTATGATAAAACCACGATTCGTCACCAGTTATTATATCACATAATCGCCATGTTCCTTGTTGAAATTTTGCTAAGTTTTCTTTACATATTCGAACTCGTTCAGCCCGTTGAAAATCGGTAAGATCTTTGGGTATATAACGTGCGGTGACCTTTCTAAGGTTTAAATGATCAGTGATGATTCGATGAACCGTACCATAGCTTAAATCAGTTTGCTCTTGTAGCTCTTCTATTGTAAGATAAGGATCATCATTGATAAGAAGGCGGATCTCTTCAATATTTTCGGATGTTGTTTCAGTGATGGGTCTACCAGGTCGTGATTCATCTTCAATTTCTTCTCGACCTTCACGAAACAGCTTGGACCATCTTTTCACTGTTGTGAGAGAAGGAGCTTGATCACCATAAACAGAATACAGTTCATCATGAATCATTCTTGCTTGAATATTAAGGGCAGTACGCACTTTAATGTAGAAACGGAAGTTTTCTGTACTCATTTGAAACAGGAAAATAGGGCCAAAGTTAAAGTTGATTTTATTTTTCTGACTTTCTTGAATATAAGCAAATACACGACACGTGCACACAAAAACAATACCGCGGACGCGTTAATGTATATGTACGTATGGATGGACAGTTATTAAAAGAGATAAGAAGACGATGATGAAAGAAACAACAAGAGAAAAAGCAAGAAAAAACGAAAAAAAAACACGTGTAGATGATTTTATGCACTATTGCTACCAGCTAGAGTTGCACTAAAAATGTTTTTGTCGGAATTTTATTACTATGATCTTAGTTAGATACTGATCAAATAGCATAGAAAGATAGAGCGAAAGACGCTCTATCTATTCGTAAAAAAAGAAATTTCTTTTTAGCTATTTATAAGAAAAAAAAGAACCTGGCCCACTACTTTTGGATAACCCTAAGTACATTTAACACTGAAAATATATTTGTCGTTCAAGTGGTAGAAGTGTACAAAATGTAAGGTCGTTTTATCCTGAAAGTTATTATTTATATTTTTTTGTAGATTATTTAATTGTAGGATTTACCTAAAATTAAATGGAATAAAAACAAATATTGGTTTTTCTTCAAGTGATACAAGTGTACATTATATAATGT